GCGGCCGGGCCGGGCATGGAGCTGGCAAGCCCGCGCTGAGGCGGGACGCTCCTGCTAGCAGCGAGCGAGAGGCTCTCCGCCGTCCGGCGCGCGGGCTCCCCGACCCGGGCCAGGCAAACTTTTCTTTCTCTTTGCCCCTTTTCAGAGGTAAAGTCCCGAACGCGGCTCTCCAGCTGGGACGCGATCTGGGGCAGCTGAGAGGGACCCCAGTCAGTGGGAGAAAGGGGCGCGGGCCGTGCGGTTGTGGGGGCCTCCGCGCTCTCCTGCGCCCGAGACTTGGGGTGCTGGGCGGACTGACTGTGGCCGGGCAGGCGGGCGAGGGCATGTCCCTCGGGCGGCGTGGAGGCGGCGGTGGCGGGGCAGTCTAGTGTTCGCCGGCGGCCCCAGCTCGCAGCGCGGCCGGGAGGAAGAGGTGCGGGCGGTGCGGGCCCGCGGCTCGTCTGTCTCCCCACCCCCCAGGACTCGGGGAGCGAGGCGGGTAGTCGGCCGTGGGGTTGGTGCCGGGAGAGCCGGTCGTTCGCCCACGCCGCCGCTCGCCGTCAGCCGCCCGCGGAGGGGTGGAGGGCGCGGGGCGGGCTGGCTGAGAGCAGCTCCCCTCTCTCCGCAGGCGCCTTCTGCGGCGGGCGGACCGACTCCTCGGCGCTGCCGGGCCGGGGCAAACTGGACGCAGCATGATGCGCGCAGTGTGGGAGGCGCTGGCGGCGCTGGCGGCGGTGGCGTGCCTTGTGGGCGCGGTGCGTGGCGGACCCGGTCTCAGCATGTTTGCGGGCCAAGCGGCGCAGCCCGACCCCTGCTCAGACGAGAACGGCCACCCGCGCCGCTGCATACCCGACTTTGTCAACGCGGCCTTCGGCAAGGACGTGCGCGTGTCCAGCACCTGCGGCCGGCCACCGGCGCGCTACTGCGTGGTGAGCGAGCGCGGTGAGGAGCGGCTGCGCTCCTGCCACCTCTGCAACGCGTCGGACCCTAAGAAGGCGCATCCTCCCGCCTTCCTCACCGATCTCAACAATCCGCACAACCTGACATGCTGGCAGTCGGAGAACTATTTGCAGTTCCCGCACAATGTCACGCTCACTCTGTCGCTCGGCAAGAAGTTCGAGGTGACCTACGTGAGCCTGCAGTTCTGCTCGCCACGACCCGAGTCCATGGCCATCTACAAGTCCATGGACTATGGGCGCACGTGGGTGCCCTTCCAGTTCTACTCCACGCAGTGCCGCAAGATGTACAACCGGCCGCACCGCGCCCCTATCACCAAGCAGAACGAGCAGGAGGCGGTGTGCACAGACTCGCACACTGACATGCGCCCGCTCTCCGGCGGCCTCATTGCCTTTAGTACGCTGGACGGGCGACCCTCGGCGCACGACTTCGACAACTCGCCGGTGCTGCAGGACTGGGTCACGGCCACGGACATCCGCGTGGCCTTCAGTCGTCTGCACACATTTGGCGACGAGAACGAAGACGACTCGGAGCTGGCGCGCGACTCCTACTTCTACGCGGTGTCCGACTTGCAGGTGGGCGGCCGCTGCAAGTGCAACGGCCACGCGGCCCGCTGCGTGCGGGACCGCGACGACAGCCTGGTGTGTGACTGTAGGCACAATACGGCCGGCCCGGAGTGCGACCGCTGCAAGCCTTTCCACTACGACCGACCCTGGCAGCGCGCCACGGCCCGCGAAGCCAACGAGTGCGTGGGTGAGTGGGGTGCGGCGGGGAGGTGGGCGGCGGGCGGCTCCGGTGCTTCTCAGCGGCGGGATCTCCGGAGCGTCGGAGGTGGCGGCGCGGAGTGTTAGCTGAATGTGTGGATGTCTCGGGAACCGCGGGTGTCCTCCACCGGAAGACAGAGAGCCAGTCCGCTGGCGCTCACGGTGCTGGCAACGGACACTCTACTTTTGCAGAAAATGTGTCGCTTGGCCCCCCTCGACTTGGATCCAAATGCAGACACTTACTGCCTTCCCCTCAGTTTGGCTAGACCCTGGGATCCACCTTTGCCCCACCCCCCAACCCTTTCCTAGGGCTGCAGCTGGGCGCGCTGTAGGTGACCCCGGCCTGGTTCCCGGGAAGTTCCAGTTCCACGACCACGAATCCCTTGGGAGATGGCAAAGGGACGAGCAGGTTGGCACCCGATGACGATCACTCCTGTGCCTTTTCTTGTCATTAATGGAGAACAAAAAGTCCTTTTTCTTTGAGCAGCGTGTTTGTGTTAGCAAAAGAATACTGTGATTTAAATTAATCTACAAATTACAAAGGAGAGTTTGCAATTATTTTGAGCTAATTCAATTCTGGTCCAAAGAAGAAGTATACTGCGCTTTTGGGTTACCATCAGGATTTGGTGAAATGAAGTATTTTTGAATTAACTAAAGGCCCAGTTTTTCACTTTTTACTAGGACTTCAGATCCTCAAAGAGAAATCTAGCAAAACCGGCATTGATGAATACCTTTGGGTCTGGAGATGAGGCTTTAAAAAAAAGGCAGCACTCCTTAGGGTGTTTCTGAATGGTACAACTCTCATGCTGTAGACAATCCCAGGCATGGATTTCTGCCCAGAGAAGGAAAATAAATAAATAAATAAATAAAGAGGGAGGAAGATGGTAAGACAATATCTTACTTTTCCAGATGAAGATATAAATTTCCAAATCCCACATTTTACTTAATGAACATTATTTAATCCACAAATACACAATTTCGTGTGCATCTTTTGTGAACATACTGAATTCCCCTTTCCCCAGCTCTTCATTGTACCCCTCACTCTTGGAGACACGTTGGAAAGTTTACTAGCCCCCACAAACACGTTTTAAGGTCTGGTTCTGATTAATTGTGTCATGTTGTTGTGGAATAGTTTGTGCCTTACGACTGTGGATGCGACTTTAGAACAAACATGTCTTGGAGAGCGTGGTCGGCATGGAGGCCCAGTCTGGCGCCCTGGTCTGCTCCTCTCCTTGCGTGGCGGGCCTCCATTTCTGCACTCAGTCTCTCCCTCTTCTGTAGCCCTAATTGTTCAGTCCCCTCATTTAAGGGGTAGAGCTGGTTGCCAGTTGGAGAGACGTTTCAGGATTCCTCCGTGAGATAGCCATAGTGGTCTTTGAGAATAAAATTCCTTTGATCTGCTCAGTTCTTTCAGAAATGTTGGTTTTTCTCATCTCTTTCTTCCTCCCTTTCCTCTTTCCTTTTCTTTCTTTTGTGCATAAAAGCCCTTTATTGACATTTAAAGGGCTTCCCAGGGTTTTGCTATCAGTTTTAGTTTGTATGTGCATATGAAAGATAACTTTACCAGCAGGGTCTAATTGGACAAATGCAAGTGAATACATTGAGGCCACGGAACTGGATGTTGGGGTAACATTCTAGTGGCTTGGAGATTTGTCTTAGCCTTCGTTTTATTCGGATTTACCACCCACCCCCATCTCTTCCTCTCATTTGGATGTGGAGATGGTAACCTGTGTTTGTTATAACAATGGTTGTGCACTTGAAATAATCTCTGTAGTTCAGGATTTTGTCTTTTGACCAAAGCACTAACTATGGGCACAAATTGGATTGACTGGTTGTTGTTTTTTTTTTTTAAGTCAAATTGAGCAATCAACATATTAACTAATGTAATTAGTAAGTGGTTTTTGTTCAAAAAGTTTAATTAGGCCTAATAAGTACATAATCTACATGACAAATAATTGGTTAACGATATTTTCTGGTTTTTACTGAAGTTATTTTAATTCTCGGCAGTTAAGTATCTTTAAATCTTGCCAATTATTCAATCATCTCATAAAAGCAAAGCCAATTCAACTATGTTAAAGTTATTTATAGTTTCCTTTTTGAATAGATGTTCTGATACCTTGTAGATATAGCTGGGAATGTCAGGTTGAAGTTCCCATAAAGTCTTAATTGAAGTCTTAGTGATTTTTCCATCATTCCACAAAAGAGAAAGCCAGCAAAGACAATTTAGGAGTGATTTACAATGAAAGGTCGAGCTTTTTATGAAAAGGCCCTGTAGTGGAGATATGTGAATGAATTAGTATTTGACAGGTGTTCTGAGACACTAAAGGGCACTGTGCTAGGGAAAAGCATTAATAAATCCTTCAAACACTAACTTTTGTACCATCAGAGGCTCAGATTTTTTCCCCCCAACATAATCCCATCTTGTGAATTTCACACTGTTGACCTATAAAGTCAAGCTACCCAGATTATTTACAGCTAAGGCAAAATAAAGAGGGATATTGTTTTTATCCCAGAAATCAGTCTTGATACAAAAAGAAGCATTTTCACTGTGCTCCTTTTTTTTTTTTTAAATAAGACATGAGGTATAAAAAAATAAAATGCCATCCTTCTTTAGGTTAACCTCCTCCCAACCTATTAAAAAATACCTTAAAACTTTCAAACATTGATATTGTTATTTGACTAAGCCATTATTCTATATATAGCTGAGATACGTTCACACTACTAGGAGACCGATAATGTATGGCCACTCTCACACACATGTATACCCAGTGTGTTTTTTTTGTCAAACTTTCTTTTAGGTGTTGTTTCAAGGTTGAGTTGTCTAAAAGAATTAACAAGGACTTTTGTAAAGTCCCGTTTTATTTCAGATGCAGTTTTGGATTTTTCCAGAAGGAAAAAAAGCCCTCAAAACAATATGAAAGACAAGACTATGTATAACATTACAGCTTCAACAGCTCTCAGTGGAATAACTAAATACTTTCTTCCGCCCATATGTATCAGCAGTGTTCACATGCTTTTATACACATGTGCATTTACATTCATCGTGTAAAGAAGCATCCATGCATGGTTGGGGGTGGTGGTGGTGTACATTCAAGGGAAAATGCATGAACAATTTTAAACCACCTGGGTTGCTAGGCCCCTTTCCCCCCTTCCTTTTTTTTCAAGAGAGCATCTGAAGACCATATTGTGTTTCATAAATTATTGACATCAGTTTTAATCAGTGTCCTCCTGACGTTGGAGCTGTGTTAGTATTTAGTGCCTGACGAAGCATGCTGTTTAATCTTACTGTGGGGATGTCAGCATGAACCCCTGCCTAGTTTGTGACAGGGTGAGCTTATGAAAACTTGTTTTGCGACTCACTCTATGGCTTTGCATTGCCCAGCTGAAACCCAAAACCCATACAAAAGACATCTCTGCAAGATGAGCACTGGGCTGGACTGGTCTTCTGTGATCATTGGTACCTGCAACATAATGCTCATAATTGCTTAAACATGGTTTTGGGGGTGGGGAGAGGTAGATTCTAATGCTGTAAATGGTTCTGGTGCTTAGGCCTCCATCATCCCAAGGCAGGAGTAGGAGGTTATATTCATGGTGTTGCCATGAGAAACCCAATGCCCTGCTAAAGACTTGCAAAATCAGAAGGCGAAAATTATTTGTTGCTTACTCTAGACTCTAGCATATAGCTGGAGGTCAGTGAATGTGTTTAATAGGTCTGGTAATTATTATAATTATTGTCATTATGATGATTAACGCTTGAGGGTTTATTTTTTGCCAAGCATTCACACTAATAGAGTCATTTACTCATTGTGACTATGCCAATAACAGGCACTGTTATTGTACTTATTTTACAGATGAGGAAACCACAACCTGGAAACATTAAATAGTTTACCCAAAGCCATAGCTAGTAGAGCTGGCACTTCAGTTTGAGGTTTGTGCTTTGCTGTATTGCTTCTTCTCTGTGTTTTCTCATGGAAGGAACAGATGGGTGAATGAATGGCAGTTCGATATCCACATATAGGAGAAAAGTTGGAACAACCTGTTCTTTCTTGCTAGAAGTGGAGGTGGTTCCCTGGTTGTATTATGTGGTAGTATGTTATATTTTACATTGTGTTATCATATTATGTTATGCTTATTCTATTCATACTTAAGTATGAAATTGTGTAAGAAGTTGTCTTTTATTTTAGCCATCAGGCCTAGTGAAAATTGGGGCATTAAGAATGTAAATAAAGAGAGTTTAAATCCTTTCATATGGGTTCTATAGTCCACAAGTGTTGCTGATAGCAAGATCTTGATTTCAGGACCTGTGGTCTCTCTTAAAGCTCTCTTAGAGCTCGGAGCTCATGTAGAAATTTCTCTTTAATGAGGCTTTTTTCGTTTGCTCTAGTGCTCAGGATCCCATTGCTTCTCTGAAACAATTTTTAAAAACTCTTAGGAAGTGGCTAAGAAGTGTTGCCATTGGAAAGGGGCTGGATGGCATGTCCTTGTGCTGGCATGGTGCTGGTAGGGGGTAGAGGGAAAGGGGTGCTGTGGGGCAGCCCCACAGGGCTATCATTTCTCTTTGTTGCTTTCTTGGCAGCTGGGGCAGGATCTCTGTTGGGGTTCTCGTTCACACCTGGTGGGCTGGAAGGTAGGAGCAAGGAAGCAGCTCGCTGCTCTCCCCTGAGAGCCGGAGTGATGCGAGGGTAAACCTTCTGGGGCATGTCTCTGCATTTATTTCCATGCTCTGCCAGGCTCTCCTCTCGCTCTGCCCAGACTTCTCTCCGACCTCCGCCTCCCGCAGAAAAATGAGATCCTCGGAAAAGTATTTGAGACTTTATGTCCAGAGTAAATATTGGAAAGGCAGTGGGTTGAAATTCAGATGTTCCCTGGAAGGAATCCCCTCCTTTTTCTGTGCACAGCTGGTATCGATATTTCCTTCTTGAGATGAGTTGTGCTTTTCATTAAGTAAATTTTTTGTCTTGGGATTAAACCAACATTGTATTCTTAATA